TTCTGGAAGTCTTGTACTCACTGTCTTCGCATCTATTGCCTGTAAAACCGGCTGTGCATTGACATACAAATCCTCCGACACTGTTTGGAACACATTGGCCGCCGTTGAGACATGGATTTGGATTGCAAATGTCGCCTGAAAACATTGTAATGCTTTAAACCTAAGATTGTAGATGATATCCTGGTTGTTGAAAAGATTTATTGGTTTTACAAATCCAGTTCGATTCTTTAGATCTTCGTAGTGAACGTATAGCAGTGATAAATCGATCATTCTGCTAAGGTTTACGAGGGTGTGAGAAAATCATATTGGAAGGTAGATTTATGGATAAGGAGTATAAGAATTCATTCATTTTTAAGAAAATTTGATGGTTAGAAAAGGCTGAATAAGAATGACAAGAGTGTGTAACTCTGTGAGCATATTGTGAGGAAGTGAGAAATACGTACGCGTTTCGCACAAAGGTCCAGTGTACCCTGATGAACATTCACATCTATAGTTTCCATTAACCGGAAAACAAAGACCTCCGTTTTGGCAAGGATTTGGATTACAAACATCTCTTGTTTGACAGTTCGGTCCAGTATAGCCGTTTGGACAAACACATCTGTAGCCACCATTCTCTCGCACACACGAACCACCATTCATGCAAGGTTGCGAGGAGCAAGGATCTCCTACAGCAGATGAAACGAGAAAGCGAAATGTAAGGAGAAGAAGCAATGCGCATGCTCACTTACTGTCTTCACACCGTTGACCAGTAAATGCTTGAACACACTGACACACAAAACCTCCAAGCCCATTTGGCAGGCACTGTCCTCCGTTGAGACAGGGATTTGGATAACATGCATCCCCTGCAAAAAAGAAAGTTAGAGGAGCGTCTTCTCAGCAAGAATATAGCATTATAGTTAATTTAAAAAGTATCAGAAAGAAGTAAACTTTTATTGATGCAGTTGTTAGAATAGAATGATATTATGTTATCCCATTTCGAACTTTTTCTAGTAACTGTAAGGGATTCGAAAAATGTAGTATTACAGGTTTTTATATAGACATTTTTCTTTAACTGGATATTAGAAAAGATGCTGAGTTATTACTTTCAAAACAGATTTGTTATCGTTAGTTGTTGCTCTCATCACATGCAGAGAGGTCAACCTTACCTATTATTTTAAGTCCTTGATTTCAGTTGCAAGAGGTTACCAGTCTGTCAGGTTCTGGCAACATGATAACGATTTCAAGAAATGTTCTATTTTGTGCACTTCATCTCACTGTTTTCAACAGTGTTGATACTTACGAATTTCACAGTTTAATCCTGAATAGCCTTGTGGGCAAGAACAAGCGTAACCACCTATTCCATTTTGCATACAATAACCGTTGTTTTGGCACGGATTCGGTAAGCAAAGATCAGCTCCTAGAAAAATCAATGGGATACTATAAATTAAATTACACGCATTCTATCAGATGATACGTATAAAAAAACTTTTTTATTTTCTTGTTTTCCCCTAATCTAACGTTTAACGTAATACGTTCGAAAGAAAAAGTTTAAATGGTAATATAAATGATTGTGCCTAAATCTGGCGAGATAACAGTCTGTCAGGCTGGGTTCCGTACACCAAAAATCATTACAGTTTGCTGCAAAACTAAGTTCATACGTTCGAGCCTCTCTATTCGTAAAAAATTGATTCAGTGTTTTCCATAGTTTTACTTCAAAGTACTAAAATTAAATGTTTCTCTTGTATTCACGGAAATAAAAGTTTATATTAACAATAATTACGGGCTTCGCAGCATAATCCTGTAAAACCCATCGGACAGAGACAAACAAAGCCGCCTATGCCATTGGGTTGACACGTTCCTTGATTCAAGCANAACTAAGTTCATACGTTCGAGCCTCTCTATTCGTAAAAAATTGATTCAGTGTTTTCCATAGTTTTACTTCAAAGTACTAAAATTAAATGTTTCTCTTGTATTCACGGAAATAAAAGTTTATATTAACAATAATTACGGGCTTCGCAGCATAATCCTGTAAAACCCATCGGACAGAGACAAACAAAGCCGCCTATGCCATTGGGTTGACACGTTCCTTGATTCAAGCATAAGTCTATTCACTTATTATGAGATCATTCTGGCAGTTCTATACGTCCAAAAATATGAGCAAATTTAGCCAAATCTCCCCAAGAAAAGGCAGACAATTTTTGAAAACTCGGAAAGGATTGAGTTGACAAGGGTCGGAAACTGAAAACCACATACACAAAAGACACTATGAAACTACAGTTTTGCGTGAGTGAAAAACTTACCAATATCGCAGGTTCTTCCAGTATAGCCTGGTGCACAATAACATCGAAACACGCCCGTTGGTTCTTCAAAAACACATGAACCCCCGTTTGAACAAGGATTTGGAATACAAGCATCACCTTCGAAAAAGAAAAGCGAAAATAATTGTAATTCTGAAGTGATGGAATGGAGTGAGGGTTCTGATTAAAGATGCAAAAGTTAACCTGGCTGATGGATCTAAAATAACTCAGAAGTGCCTATATTTTATATAAACAATTTTTGATCGCAAATTTCTCCATGATTAAACTTGATATCATGGTAAAGGTTTTATCTGACGAGATTTCTACATCAAAATACATATTTTTGTACTACCCGAATAAAACAATCGAAATTCTGAGCTTTATCGTTGTGCTGATAAAAAGACTGTATAAAACTTAGTTTATTTCATCATTCATTTGATTATTGTCCAGTTTCTTATACTCACATATCTGACATGTTTGACCTTGAAATCCAGGTCGACATTGACACACAAAACTATGTACATCTTGGATTTGGCACACACCACCATTCATACAAGGATTAGGTATACAGATATCCCCTTTAAAAACATATATATTCAATGTATGAATCATACACATCAATAAAGTTAATAATATGTTTAATATGTTCAGAGTTTTAAAATGGAGCTCGGCTATATTACGCGCATGCTCTTAGGTCTTTGACAATATGTTGTATTATACGAATACGCTGCTTATGCTATTTTATCAACAATACAACGCGCTGTCCCTGTCTACAAATACAAGCGAATGCAGATGTTAAAAACGAAGAGACGAGAGAATATTTAATAGAGCCATTTGAAGCTATTAAACTAACGTCGTTCACATAATGATTCTACGTAGGATCGTGAACAATGATATACTGATAATGCCTAAACGCATTCTGTTGACAAAAAAACAATATTAGGCCGACGAGCAGAAAGAAAAAATGGAATGTATTTAGTATGAAGTATTTCCCAGTAGTTTTTTCTTTCTTTCTGGGCGCGCTCAGGACCGTAGAGAAAATCACTGGGTTCGTTAATTTATGAATTATTCCTCGTAGAAATTTCATATTTTGCTATGTCGGATAAACATTTGCATACTGCTGTAGAAACCATTACTAAACCAGTTTCCATTACAGAACTAAACGGAGCTCCATTACAGAACTAAACGGAGCTCCATTACAGAAAAGGGACAACTACGAAAACTAAACATCATCATAATTACTTGTATCACAATTCAATCCGTTGTAACCATATGGACATTCACAAATGTATGTTCCCAATCCCATCGTACATCTTCCCCCATTTTTACACGTACAACCTACACTGAACGCTAAAAGACAATTGATCGTTAGTTACACATATCATAATAAAATACATTCAAATTATGTACAATATGTGCAATCATCTTGCCATGGTGGACAAATACAACTGAAACCATCCTTTGTATCTAAGCATGTTATTCCCTCTGGACATGGATTACTGGAACAATCATCAAAACCTAAATAAAAAAGATCACAAATTCATTTACTATGCACAAAATTATAGATAAGTGGTGCATATTCTTACCTCTTATCGAATTAAAATTACCGGAATTACATAAATCAGTTGAACACATGCACCAATAATTTCCACTGTATGTTAAACAACCATCTACTAGAAGATCACGCACCCATCGTTCATCTGTACATCGTCTGTCTGTGACTGAAAAATGAATAAATATAAGATTTATTCTACAATCTATTCTAGGGCAAAAGTTAATTGTATTTAGTACAACATATTCCCGATTAGATATACGCAATCTAACATTAGATTAACATGCTACTACAATTATACAATGTGATTGATTTTTATTTATTTTAAAGAAAAAAAATCTACTCTATTTGAAAGCATATCTAAACTACTGTATAGTACTAGCACTAAAGTCTAACTACAACTACTAACAAAATTATTTAAATTAAAATAAATTAAGTATGTTTTTTACAAATGACATCGAATGTATAGTAAGACACTTACGAGTGTCATTTGCATGTTTTGATTTCAAATAGCATCTTTGATTGTAATGACATGGTACAATACATCCAGCATTATTTATTGATTGACAAGCAAAGCATCGTTTATCTTCTTCTATTATTGCTATAGCAGTACGGCCCAAAGAAGCAATTTTTGATGGACTTTTTGTAGGACTTGCCGATATAAAATATTCTACAAAGAAGTAATTATGAAATATATAACTATATACCTTCATCATCCAACGATGTTAATCCACGAAGAAAACATCGTTGAGAATTTGAACATGGTACAGTACAATCCGATGATGGTTCACGACAACCAAAACATCGACTAGCTGAACTCATACTTATATATGGTGTAAAAAATTGGACTATAAATAGAATTATATAATATTTATCAATTTTTTTCTGTTTAAAAATTCTGTTTTACTAAACTTCTTTTTTTATATACAATTTTAGTTGATAATTAGAAATCAACAACATGTTTTATTTTTATTTTCCATTATATTTTCAAACAAACCTGGTATATGACGTGACTGAATTGTTCTATTGGTTGGAGATGATAACACTGAATAATATTTGAAATGGATACAAATTAAAAATGAAAAATTAACATAGGACCACCGTAGAATCTAAATAATAAAATTTTATCTTGATTTTATTTTTTTTTGTAATAACTTTCGTGATAACACCGAATGAAAGATATGTGGTGACACTACAATTATGTATACAAATACATATTGCAATATCCAAACTGTAAAATGCTTTACAGTTTCTCAGTTTTTACCAACATTTTAGAGTTTTAAAAAAAAAAGAGTTTTTCTAGCATTTTTGACAAATGATTGACTTTTGTCAGATATTTAGCAATAGAACTATTATGATGATTTCGATTTTGAAATACGTTTTGTATAAATGTATAATAAGACATATCTGAAAAATTGTATAAATTTCATATTTTCTACAATCATAGTAGGAGTCGGTAATCTATTTTCATTAATATATCTACTTAACTTTCAAAAACATAGTATTTATCAATTCCCAAATATATAACAAGAACTTACCATGAATATATAACCTAATTATCAATTCTAATTTCTAAAAGTTAATGTTTTCAGTGTGCTCAAAGAAAAACCGTCAAGTTCTTTTTTCTTCAATGGTTTTTTTTGCAGGTTTTTTTTCACGGACACATGTGAAATTTTAAAAAAAAGATTTTGATAAATAAATTAAAAAAGTTAATAACAGTTTTTGTTCAAAATATTTTGTATGTTATAATAGATGATATTTACACTAAGATTAGACAACTGTTAACCGTGATGAAACTTGAAACATTATCTGATGCGTCTACTGTGTAATATTGTTTACAATGGTTAAAAGTTGAAGGTGATACGTACATTTCATAATTAAGCGCGGAAGCCTTCAAAAAATTATCATCAAAGATAAACACTATTCATTCATTGTATAATATCTCTCGATAAACGTCCAGAAATTTCATTGTTTTTCTTCATCTGTTATTCACTCATTATAGTCATTTGTACGAATAAAGGACAGAACATAAATTCATTGAATTAAAAATAACTACAGATATACTAGGGCGTTGGATTAAATGAAAAAAAAAAAAGAAAAAAAAAGAAAAATAAATGGGCGCTCAGTCTATTAAAACAAAAGATTACAATCAATTACACTAATCCACAGCTGATTATCATACCTCTTATCATTCATTATTATGGCCTTCACATTTCTATTTTATAAATGCACACACACATACACATAAACGCACAACACTTGTTCATGAAAACTGAACATCTTGTCTATGGATCCAAATGTCTGCGTAAAGAATTTAGTTAGATTTGAATACTGTGAAATTGAAATTTTGAGTATTAGATCCATAAGATAAAAACTGCTGTGTTAGAAAGTTTCTGTCAGTACTTACAACATTCTCTTCAATTTTAGTCCTATTATACCGAATATTAATAGAAACAGTGACTTGGTTACCTATACGGAGAGTTAACAAACTTAGGGTAAAACCGCGTACGAGCAATTCGCTCTTATTGACAGCAGTCGCGCTCCCGAAAACACTCATCACCCGGAAATTTCTAATCTATCATGACTTTTCGTGGCGGCATAAAAAATTACTTGCAGAAAATTTTTCAAGATAGTTTTCCGCGTCGATGTTTAAATAGGAGTAAGTTGTTTTTTTCTATTGCTCAGGAGTCCAAGTTTTTTTCTCCAAATATTTCACATCTGATTTATTTATTGTTAAATTTCGAGTTAACGGATAGAATTAAGAATATAAATGTTAAGCTTTAAGCTGCCGTAGCACCTTTGGTTCCTTTTAGCACGTTATCAGTTTAACTAAAAATAGAAATAAAATTTTATAATTACAAATTTTCAATGCAATTATACAGTCTCTATTAAATAAAACTATTATGTACAGAATATTAAATTAGAGTGAAAACAGAAATATAGTTGTACGTATACACTTGCATCGAGTGTTATGATTTCTTTCATTCAATAAAATGAAAAGTAAAAATTTATATTTTTGGTTTTATTGGTACTTTATTCTGTTAATAAACAGAAGAAAAAGTAAAGCAACGTATTAGTAATATAAAGGCGTGAAATTGAGTGCAGACAATGAGTTAAAATAAAAAATATTTTGTTTCGTTAGATTCTGCAAGACCTTTTTAATGAGCGTCATCAAAGCAAAAAAGAACTTCTTTTGGAATTAGCTTAAACTAGATAAAAAGGAAAATTTACCTGACTTACACTAGATTAGGACGAACTGCAGCTAGATAAATGTTCCATTTTACCTAGATTACTACCACCGAAAATATCGAAGGTACCTTTTATTTATAACAGAGATGCAAATATTAGCTTTTGCAGATGCAGAGTCGGTTTCTCACAGCTGCGGAAAGACTTGTATCTTCTTAATCTCCTCTGATCCCTTCTGCTCGTGTGACACCGTGACGGACAAGAGCCTTTCTCACTATTTCTTGAAATGCCCTTTGTTTGATACTGCAAAATTAGCTCTACATTCTATATTTCAATCAGGTTTACCTCATCTTTCTTTTGATTTAAAAACTTTATTTCTGGAAATTTCTCTAACACCTGAAGAAATCAAGATTATTGTCAAAACTGTTACCAACTATATCATTCAGTCAGATCGTTTTTTCTGTGAACGACAGATAAAACATTCCTTCTTTTCTTATTGATCATTACTGCAGTCAAGAGCACAACATATTCTTCCTCCTTTACTTCTCACTAATACCAGCTTTCCAAATATGATCACAGACTCAAAGACATTGGTCTATTACTGTACTTTCTTTTTTTTGTTATATTCACAAGTAGAATCCATATATGTATTTGTTTTAGTTCTTCGTTAGACTGTTTAGGTGAATCTGCACCATAGACCTTGGTCTGCTCGCTTAGTCAAGTTTGTTGTAACTTTTCTTAATAAACAGGATTATGATTAAAAAGCTAGCTCCAAAAAACATTCTTTTTGCTTAGGCAGAAATATAGCTTCCACTCCCTGATCGAAAAACAATCAAGATCCCTGCTTACCGGATACGATTAATCTCTCATCATGGATCGACATAAAAAATTTGAATCAAGAAAACATAGACTAGATCACAAAATTATACAAACAGAACAGAGAAAGGCTAATTATTGTTGACATAGTTAAATAAAGGAATAGGAAAAACAAGATAAGTTTCAACAAGACATAGGTCGTGCTCAGTTTGATCGCGTAACTCTTCTACCGCTTGTTTAGGTATTACATCAAAAATTTAAACTGCTATTTTTCAAAACTTATCCAAAAAATTATTTGTTTGTATTTTTTGCTGTAATACCTAAACAAAAGAACATGTAGAGTGCACGAGCGTTTTAAATCATTCAGAACACATTTTTTTGTCTTCAATTTATGATATTCTGGAGTTCTGGACAGATTTTCATTCGAAAACTGTGAGAGAAACAAAATGAAGAAAAACCTACGAAAGGACACTGCGGTAGCAGAGTCACGCGACCAAGGCGTGCTGTTAACCGACGTTTAGTTAACCCTTTGTTTACCAGCGTCCCGAATTCTGAACGCTTTTTTTAACTGCGATCGCAAAAAGATATTGAGATGCGACGATGTAGTTTTGTCTGCTGATTTCTAGTATGTTATTAATTTTGCTTGCAAGTATGTGAGAAGTGAAAAAGAATAAAATAAGCGGTTGAGTGCGACGTCTTCTTGACAATATTTTATCTATGGATATTTTCTTCCTAATTTATCATTACTATATTTTTACACGATTATGACGAACATCAACCACAGAAGATATGGTAGAATGGACGATCCTTAATTCCTCACCCTTGCCTCCCTATGTATGTTTCAATAGCGGGTGCTCATTTTCAATGAATATCTCGAATCATACAATAGTTAACTCTCGTACTTTGTGTAAATAATCTAAAGACATTTTAGAGTATCTAGTGCTATTTTGAAGTGAAAACGCCGAGTTATGAATTTTTTTGGAAGAGGGTCTTAAAGTTCACAACTGACCCTCGATCGTAAAATAGCTGTATTTCAGTAACTATTAAGAGATAAAACTTCAAATTCATATCATAGATAGAGGAGAAGCAGTGCTGCATTTCGGTGCAAAGGAAAAGCTTTCACCTCTCTTGGATCAGAAGTTATTAGCATTTTACGGAAAAGAAATGGAACGCTTACTTCTCACGTACCACCTAGTAAAAGAGGTCCAAACCTGGTGGATGATCAGCATTCGATAAGAGCTATGACCACACAAAATTAGAAGTCCCTAGCTATCATGGTCGAGCAATAGTACTCAAAGGGTTAAACATTTTTCGAATCCACTCAGTTCAGTCTTGAGTAACTTTTGTATTATTAAGATAAAGGATACTACTTTTCAGTTTTGTGGATATCTGAATATCTCTTGACGGCTATCCACACTCAATAGCTTTCTATGGCTCCGGTAGAATCTGCTTGAGAAGCAGCGAATTAGCCCCTTGTTTTTTCTCGGTTTACCATGCATGGATCGAAAGTCCTATCATTGCACAAGAAAAGCAGACGTATGATTAGAAAAAATAATGTATCAAAACGATAAATATAGACGTGGTAGTAAGTATAGAATTTTAAGGCGGGTCCGGTTAGACCCGTAGACAGCTGTCGATGGATATAGCTCATAATAAGGACAAAACACAACTTCATCAGAAACCCGCTCACATTTTTTTTGCAACCAAAGGTCTGTAACAAAAACATAACGTCATAGAACAATTATGCTATGCAGAGATGCCGTTATAAGCATTGAGCATGTTTCGAAATAAAAATTTCAACTTACCATCATTTTCTCATT